ATGGACAAAGATCTGAAAGGAATTAGGAAAAAACTGTATGAATAAAATAAGAATATCAAGAAAGAGAAAGAAGCTATAGAAATAGAAATGAACCAAATAGAAATTTTGGAGCTGAGAATTTCAATTGAAATGAGAAATTCACTAGAGGAGTCAATAGCAGATTTGAGCAGGCAGAAAGCTGAATCAGCAAACTTGAAGGTAGGTCAGTTGAAATTATCCAGACTGAGGAGCATAAAGAAAGGAAAGAATGAAGAAAAGTGAGAGGAGTGACCCTTCATGAATAAGGGATCCTCATTAACAGATTTCTCATAAGAAACTTTGACGCTAAAAGGAAGAATAGAAGCGAATATCCTCCAAACGAGAATAGGCATTTGCAAAACCCCACAGCTTACATAATATTCAATACTCAGGTACTGGGTTTTCCCCCTAAGAGCAAGAACAAGACAAGAATACCTACTTTCACCACTGCTATTCAACATTGTACTGCAAATTCCAGTTAGAGCAATTAGATACGAAAAAGAAATAAAATAAATCCAAACTGGAAATGAAGAAATAAAACTACCTCTGTTTGCAGATAACATGATCCTGTGTATAGAAAATTTGCAAGAATTCTCAAGAAAGTAACTAGAGCTAATAAACCAACTCAGCAAATTTTCAGGTTTTCAAGATTAACACACAAAAATAAGGTGAGTTTTATAAACTAGGAATAAACTATTTGAAAAGAAAATTAATAAAGCTACTCCAATTATAAGAACAACTAAAAGAATAAAATATCTAGGAATAAATTTCATCAAGGAGGTGAAAGACTTGTATGCTGAAAACTACAAAATGTTGCTGAAATAAATTTAAAAATACCTAAAAATAAATGGAAAGAAATCCCACGTTCATGGACTGGAAGACTTAATACTAATAAGATGTCAATACTATCCAAAATGATCTACAAATCCCTATCAAAATCTCAAAAGCCTATTTTGCAGAAATAGTAAAACTAATTCTCAAATTCATATGGAATTACAAGGCGTCCTGAATGGTAAAGCAATCTTGAACAAACAACAAAACTAGAGGACTCATATATCCCCATTTCAAAACTTGATACAAAGCCACAGTAAATCAAAACAACAGTGTGATACTGGCATAGGGATATACATATAGACAAGTAGAACAGAATTTGATTTTCAACAAGGGTACTAAGTCAATTCAGTGGGGAAAGAATATTATCTTTATAAGAGCTAAAACCATAAAACTCATAGAAGAAAACAGGAATAAATCTTCATGATCTTGGATTTGGCAATGGATTCTTAGATATGACATCAAAAGCATTAACAACAGCAACAAAAAAGATGAATTTTACTTCATTAAAATAAGCAAGAGTCAACCAAGAAGGATATGTTGTATCTTGCTAGTGAGTTTGGACCTTATTTTATATATGGTGGGAAGCTAGTAAAGTTTTTTAAGCAAAAAACACAAACTGATTAGTGTTTTGGAAAGATCACTTTGGTGCCACTGTGGATAAGTGATTTAAATGCTTCTTATTACTAAAGCCTAGGAATTTTAATTTCATCAATATTTTATTACTTCCTCATCATAAGTTAACATTAATTTTGCAAAAAAAAGAGACATTTTGTGCATCAAAGAACATTATCAGGGAAGTGAAAAGACAACCTGTAAAACTGGAGAAAATACTTGCAAATCATACATTTGATAAAGGTTTAATATTCATAATTTTAAAACTCCTAAACCTCTAAACAAAAAGACAAACAACTCAATTAAAAAACAGGTAACAGGCAAAAAAAAATAAATACACATTTTTTCAAAGAAGACATACAAGTGCCCAACAAGCACTTGAAATGATGCTCAACATCATTAGTCATTAGGGAAATACAAATCAAAATTACAACAATATATCACTTCACAATGACTAGGATGGCTATTTTTTTTAAAAAGGCATATAAATGGTAGCAAAGATGTGGAAAAATTGGAACTCTCAAACATTTCTGGTTGGAATGTAAAATGGTGCAGCTGCTATGGAAAACAGTTTAGCAGTTACTCAAAATTTAAATATAGAATTGTCATATGACCCAGAAATTCTAGGTATATACCTCAAAGAACTGAAAACAGGAAACCAAAACAAATGCCTGTTTAGTAATGTTCATAGCAGCACTATTCATAATAGTCAAAAGGTGGAAACAACTCAAGTGCCCATTAACAGATGAATAAACAGATGAATAGATAAATAAAATGATACATTTATCATTTAACAGTTTAATGTCCAGAATAAAAATGTCACAAAAAATCACCTCCAAATCACATTTTATCTATCTATATATCTCACATTCTGTTTGTGTATTTATACATATATCACATTACATATATATATATATGTTTATATATTATACCTATATATAATGGAATATTATTCAGCCATGAGAAGAAGTACAGTCCTGATACACACTACAACATGGATGAACCTTGAAAACATTAGGCTAACTGAAAAAAGCCAGACACAAAAGGACAGATACTGTATGATTCCATATTATGGATTTACCTAAAATAGGCATACTCACAGACAAAGTAGATTAGAGGTTACCACCGGTTGGGTTAGAGAATAGCAGTTATTGCTTAATGGGTACAGAATATGTACTTGGGGTGATGAAAAAGTTTTGGAAATGGATAGTGATGGCTTCACAACATGGTGAATATAATCACTGCTACCGAATTGTGACTTAAAAATGGTTAAAATGGCAAAATGTCTGTTATATATATATATCACAATAAAATATTGAAACATTCTTTAAATGTTTGGTAGAATTCACCAGTGGCTATTTAAGAATATTTAAAATATTTAATGGGCCTCTTGATGCAAGAAGATAGCACCTATACAGTAGTCATGACCCCACCAAATCAAACCTGAATATCCCTAGGTCTCTAGATGCAACCATCAAATTTCAGGAAATAAACAAGATAGAGCAACATATTAAGATTATAAAGATGAAATCAGCAGCATCTAGACTGTGGGAAAGTCTATAGGACAAATGACCTGGTTACTTTAACAAATACATTTCATTGAAAAGCAAAAGAGATAGAGATTAAGAATCCATAGGAGATTTATCAGTCACTTGCAATATGAGGACTTTGTTTGGATCCCAATTCAAATAAGCTGAAAAAAAAAAAGCTTTTGATGACATTTATGACCTCACTGGAAATTGGAAAGCTAAGTGAATATTTGATGATATTAAGAAATTATTGCTAAAGTTTTTGGGTATGATAATGATATTGTGGTAGTACTTAAATGGTCCTTATCTTTTAGAGGTATATATTGAAATTTATACAGACAAAATCATATAATATCTATGTCCAAATAATATGGGATGAGTGGATGAAAGTATAGATGAAACAAGAGTGGTCAAGAGTTGATAATTATTGGAACCTGACTGTGGGTAACATGGGTATGCTATCCATGAGTTTCTTTTTTCCCTTTGTATAAGAATTTCCTTCATACTGTATTTTCTCCATAAATCTATTATGAAAAATTTCAAACATACAACAAAATTAAAAGAATTTTACAATGAACATGATATATCCAACACCTAGGTTCCCCTATTTTAATGCATGTGGTATGTCCGTATCTCTGTTCATCTGTTAATCTATCTTATTTGTATTCTTTTCAAATAAATTGCAGACCTCTTCACTTTTTGATAAATGCTTCAATTCAGCATGTTGAGTTTAATATTTGTTTCAAACGTGTTTGTATAAAATTCATAATGAAATGCACACATCTTAATTATGTGCACTTGACAAAGGTAAATGGTTAGATAACAGAAACCCTTCTCAAGCCATCACTCAAAATTTTCCTTCTGCTCCTTTCCAGTCAATCCCCACCTCTACTTCAACCCCTATCCTAAGGCACCTGCTGTTCTGATTTTTCCACAACGGATTAGTTTTTATTGTCCTGGATCTTAAAATAAATTAATGCATACAGCATATACTCTCTTGTGTAATATTTCTTTCACTCTGTATAATATTTTGGAGTTTGTCTATTCTGTTACATATTATCAGTAGTTTTTTTTTGTATTTTTAATACTACTGATGAATGGTATTCCACTGAATGAATATACCACAGCATGTTTATCTGTTCTCCCACGGATGAATAACTGGGCTATTTCCAGTTTGGGCTATTATAAATAAAGCTACTATTAACATCCTTTATAAGTATTTTGTGAATATAGGGGTCTGTAAAATCTGTTTTAGAGTGGAATTTCTGGATAATAAGATAGGTGTACATTTAGCTTTATGACTGATAGCTTCAGCTTTGTTCAATGTGGTTGGATCGTTTTACATTCACACCAATAGTGTACAAGATTTCCAGTTGCTCCACATCCTCACAAATATTTGGTGTTACCAGATTTTGAATATGATAGCCATTCTGGTACTCATGTAGTGGTATCTCACTGTGGTACTAATTTGCATTTTTCTGATGACTAATGATGTTGAATACATGTTCACATCCTTTCTGGCCATTCATAAATCTGTTTTGGGAATGTCTTTCAAATTTTTTGCCCAAATTCAAACCAGTCAACCCAACAGCAAAGAAAGGAACTACAACTATCTTTTAAGCTTTACCTATACTTATTACTAAATAAAACTTGAGCTTCCTACTTTATTTATTCTTCTGTTAATTAAAAATAGTACATTTGAAGGGAGGTACTACCAGAGAAACAAATTAATAAGTAAGTTTGTTTATACTTACTTGCACTTTGGTGATGATACCAAATTGTTCTAAATTTGGGACCAGTATTTTGACAAGGACTTAAACTAATATAAATAAAAAAGAGAAACAAAAATAACTAGCTATGTATCTATTTAAAGTACTTATATTATGCTAGTGGCAGGCATGACCCCAAAATGCAGAATCAAATCAAACAGTAATCTGCATAAAATAGTGTTCCATAAAGACTATATAAATCATCATCAACATCATCATCATCATCAAAGCAACGTACGTGGGGAGGTGCCTGACGTGGATGGTTTATTTCCTTTTGTTTGTGCAGGAGGTTCTGACTGAGGTACAGGAATTCTATAAAAGAGGAAAAAAAAGATAACAAATAGTTATAAACAGAGAGTTGAATGGGAAAAAAACCAATTAGTTCCACTCAGAAGTTATTCTAATTCAATAAATTTAGAAAATATATAGGTTTAGTTTCTTAAAGTAATGCATTAGAAATTTAAAGATGATACATTCAAATTATGAACAAATATCCATAATAATATAATTCAAATAGTGCAACAGATTTAAATGTTCTTTTAAGGAATATTCCACAGAAAGAAGTATTCAACTTTATTAAATATTAACCCAAGATGGGCACATATATTTCATTTTCTATGACAGGGATTAAAAAATTTGTTCAATAGTTTATTTTCATGTTTGCTTTGTTCAAATATTCTGGAAAACTATTTAGCCTAACTCTCTAACCTCATTTCAGAATTTTCTATAAGCCTCATGCTGCTTCAAACCTTAATGCTTTTCTTTCAGCTAGAAAAAAACCCTATGCCCCCTTTCCTTTACCTGGTTAACTCCTATTCCTCCTTCAAAATTTAGCTCAGGTATTATTTCCCACAAGAAGCCATCCCTGATCTCCAGTTAAGGTTCACTGATCCTTGAATACTCTGTCACAGCATCATGAATACACTTTATCATAGCACTCATCACACTGTATTAAAATTACTGGTTTATCAGTCTGTCTCTTCTACAAAATTCTACTATAAGCTCTACAAAAATACAAACGTTATTTTATTTATTTTTTATCTCTACAGAATATCTGCTCAATAACTGTTTATTGAACTAGAAAGATGAAAAGGGAAGCATCTTACTTTGAAGCTGCAGAGAGAAGCTTGCATTTATTTTATTTTATTATTTAACATTTTTTATTGAATTTTTTATTGTCAGTTACAATGTGTCAGTTTCTGGTGAACAGCATAACGTCCCAGTCATAAAAATATGTATATATACTTTATTTTATTTAACTTACTTTTTATTGACATATAAGCTTGCATTTAAAATAAAGATTTCCTTCTTATGAACTTTTAGCATATTTCTATGAGTTTTTTCTATTGTTGTATTTCCAAAACTAAAAGCATACAGTAAAACAGATATGTCCTGTTGTAGAATGTGACATAATATTGCTCAACTTATTTTATCAAAGGATTTGTCTCTTATGATAGCATTGTTCATTTTACTTATGAATTATTAATTATTTTAAAAGAAGTAGCTTTCATGAAGAAAGAATGAATCCATTTAACTATAAAACTCTAACAAATAAAAACATATTTGTAGTTGTAATTTCAACTTTTCCCCCAAGTATTGAAACATGGTATTTCTAGAAACTAGCCAACTGAAAACATCAATTCTGAGAGAAATCTAAATAACTAAAGAATAGTTAGATTGTACGTATTTTGAGATCCTTAAACAGTATGTATACACTTGTAAATATATGGTGCTATTAAGTGACTTTTTTCATCTGAAATAAATTAGAAAAAATAGTTTTCCAAACTCTAACAGCACCATTATATTTCATAGAGTTTTTAAAAGGTGGCTTAGGAGATTTTTACTGAAATATATAATCATTCATTTATATGCCTTGAATGTCTTAAAGGTGAGGGGATAAATGACAGAAGTGGAGGTAGACAATGTCTAGGGGTATCAACTGAAGAAACTGAAAAAAGAGAGCTGAAAAATGGAAGTATAAGAAATATACAAGGATATCTGAGGCAAGAAAGGGAGAAGACAGCTAAAAGAAGATAAAGATGCATATGATGAGAGTGGCAGAATATTATAAAAATTGTCAGAGGCAATAAGCTGTACTCTAACCCTCCCCTTTTCATCAGCTTACTGATCTTAGAAAAAAGTCATATAGATTCTATAGTATGCCATTCCCACATTTACATAACAGTATTATAATTAATGTTATTGTAGTCTTCCCTGTTGTGCCTTCTGCTTTTCTTAGAAGATGTTGATGAAGATTTTTAAGAATTCATCTAACCATGGTATAGCTTACTTTCTATCTTTACAGAGTAAACATACCAACAGAATGCAATGAATAAGTTTTAATGTCTCATTTATTATATTTTATTCCTCAGTGCTAACTTTTGAATGAGTCAATGTATTTTGACTACATTTTACTATCTAACAGAGAGCATCACGGTTCACTATCTACCATTTGCATTCATATGTTCATTGATACAACCTCTTAAATGGTCATATTTACTATTACTGCACCAATGGAAGCAGAACAACAGGTGATACAGACATAGGAGTTAGCAAGCCAGGATTTAGAAGTCCAGTGTGCCATCCATTGCGCTACAGAGCCTGACAATAAGCCAGGATTTCAAATACAATGATGTACCAGTAGAGTGACATGCACGGATTCTACAAGGAGAGGGCATGGAAGCTTCATGTTCCCTCTCAGACCTCGCTCTACATGGCTCTTCATTTGGCTCTTCCTGATCTGTATCCTTTATAGTAAAACTGTGATTTTGAGTATAGCGCTTTTCTGAGATCTGTGCATCATTCTGGTGAGCTATTGACTCTAAAGGGGTCATGGGAACCCCTGAATTTATAGCCAGTTGGTTAGAAGTGAGGATGATCTGGGGACCAGCTGAATTGAGGCGAGCACCTGAGTAAGGTCAATCTTGTGGAGGACTAGCTCTTAAACCTATGGAGTCTAATGTTAAATCTGGGTAGTTAGTGTTGGAATTGAATCACAGTATAGCTGATTGGGTTGGAGACCCCACAAGAGCTCAGTGAACTCAACTGATAATTTAACAGCAGACTGGACACACTAAAAGAGTAAATGGAGTAACAGGTCCAAACTGAAGCACAGAATCAAAAACAAAAAAGAAATATGTATATGACTGAAAAACAATACAGTGTAAGGAACTGTTGGTTACAGTTAGAAGTGCTAACATATGAAATAAAATTCACAGAAAGAGAGAAATGAATGAGGTAGAAAATGTATTTGAAGAGACAGTGGCAGATAGTTTTCCAAAACTGATGAAATACATCAATCCACAGATTTAAGAAGCAGTATAAAACAAAGAAAACCACTTGGCACATCATATTTAAACCGCTGAAAATCCAAGACAAAATCTTAAAAGCACATAGAGAAAAAGAATGCAATATTTTTGAAGGAGCAATTACAAGACATTAACCTAATTCTTAATAGAAACAATGAAAGCAATACAACAGTAGAATCAGACATATTAAAAAAAACCCCTGCAACCTAGTGAAAATCTCCTTTAGAAATAAGAGGGAGGGACAATACAGGGGTAGGGGACTGGGAGGTACAGATTACCAGGTGTAATTAAAACTATTTGATTCAGCAAATAGTATGAAAATTGATATAAGCCGAAAATATAGATCTTCCTCAGCATACGATGGGATTAAGTCCCGATAAACCCATCGTAAATTGAAAATATCATACCTTGAATATGAATTTAATACACTTAATCTACTGGACATCATAGCTTAGCTTAGCCTACCTTAAACGTGCTCAGAACACTTACATTAGCCTACAGTTGAGCAAAATCATTTAACACAAAGCCAATTTTATAATAAACTGTTGCATATCTCATGTAGTTTATTGAATACTGAACTGAAAGTAAAAAACAGAATGGCTGTATGGGTACAGAATGATTGTGAGTATATCAACTGTTTACCCTTCTGATTTCATGGCTGACTGGGAGCTGTGGCTCACTTTCACTGCCCTACATCATAAGAGTATAGCACTACATATCACTAGCCCAGAAAAACATCAAAATTCAAAATTTAAAGTATGGTTTCTACTGAATGTGTATTGATTTAGTATCATCATAAAGTTGAAAAATTATTTGTTGAATCATTGTAAGTTGGGGACCATCTGTATCATTAATTCCACTAAAAGTGAATGGAGAGTGATGTCAGCATCATGGTAGAGGGACACGTTTTCTTTGTCTCTTTCTTATCTACAATCAGTAAAACATCCACACCTCAACAAAAGTGCCTCTGCCCAACACACCAGGACATCAGAGAGTTCCACATATCTGTTCATTTAAAGGTGGATAGACTGGAACACACAGAGGAGATAGAACTTGGGGAAAAGTGGAGGAGGTGCCTATAATCCTGGTCCCCAGCCATGGCAGCTGAACCCTCAGTCCCAGAGAAACTAGTAGCAACAGGCAAGGTGACATATACAACTCTGGCCTCCTGGCCACAGTGGTAACCACAGCCACAGATACCTGGGCAGCAGTAGCAGTAGGGCCTGGGACCTGTCTCTTCAGCCATGGAGGCGCCCATGACTCCACCCTTCCCCGCTCTCTGCCTACAGTGGCAGAGTCCCTGAACCTGACAACACTGAACAGGGCAGAGATTCCTGTGCCACTTAGGCTACCCCCAACCCTGTGGTGGCAGAGCCTGCAACTCAGGAGATCCTGGACATGGCAGAAGAGTCCACCATCCTGGTGCCCCAGACAGCGACACCAGCCACACTAGGAGCAGTAAGGCACCAAAGACCCTGGAGAAATAAGCTGTGATAACTAAGGCACTAGGCGACGCCTCTGACAAAGGTGGTGGAGAATGGAAAGTGCTGACTCTCAAATATAACCAGAGGCAGCTTAAGTAAGAGAAATCAAAAACTTATACTATAGTGCCACCTACTGGAAATAAAAGCAAGGTCTCTTAACTTCTAACTTGTTGAATTGTTAGAATTAAGTGAAGAAGAAAAAAAGGTTTATCTAAAAAAAGGTGTTTGCCACTTGAAATAAGCCGGCAGAGGAGCAACTCATCAAGTACCATGAAGAACCACAGTAACACTGTACCAGAGAAATAAAATGACAATTCTCCAGAAACCAAACTTAAAATCATAGAATATTGTGATCCGATAGAGAATTCAAAATAGCTGTCATGAAACTAATGAGCTACAGTAAAACTCAGAAAGGTAGTTCAATGAGCTCAGGAATAAAATTAGTGAACCAAAGGAATACTTTACCAAAGAAACTGAAACTCTAAAATGAACCAATCAGAAATTGTGGAGCTGAAGAACT